TTGAATGTTATACTCAAAATTTGCAGAAACCTTATTTATGCAGCTTGTGTCCAGAACTGCATTCTTTTCATTAATTAGCATTGGTTAATTCACTTCGATTCGATTAATTGTCATGCATGACCATTGTAAAGGTCGGATATGTTGATAGAAGCCTTGTCAGTATTGCATAATTGTTTTCGACACAGCTAACTGCTTTAGCTTTATGATTATTGGTTCATTTGTTTTGCTTATTTCACTGGTTCTTATATTCGTTTTGCTTTCCATCACTGTTGAAAGTTACTGGGCATACTTTTTCCATGTTGTTCGTTTAAGAACCGTTGATTTGCATGGTGCATTGAATAGACCAAGTATATAGTCGTACTATCGACTGTAAGTGACGACCTCGCTCAGATTGATTGTCCCGTCGATGCCCCTGTAGTTGCGAATCTGTCAGACGCATGCTAACTTCAGTCTGAAGAAAAACTATGATGACAAGAATGATACATAGATTGGATAATTAAGACGCACACGCTTTAAAACGTTCTGCTGTCATTGCAGTGCAGTTCATTACTGTCCTGTTATCCATAACAGGCTATGTGTTGAGTTATTCAGCACTTGGTTTCGGACTGCCTAAGCGACTATCATTATTTTCGAGCAACTTTGTCTTTAAACTTATAGTGAAAAGTTAGTATGACTGTTGTTAATTTACGTAGCCGCAGTACACATGTTTCTTTAAATGCACTCTGTCTGCCACTTTGGAATATGTGACTGTCTGAAGGCATCGTAGCTTTCATATTCTAGTGTACAAAAGTAGTCTCGTTCGTTGATATGACATTTATGGGAGAGAAATGTTTATATCTGATTCTGCAGTTGCTTTCATCTAATCATGGTGATTTGCTATTATTGCAATAAATCACACTGTAAGTAAATTATAAACTTTTGTAATTCTCTGATCCTAAAGTTTTCTTCAAGCTGTGTGTACTCTTCCACTTAAAATCAAACTGTCTTTTTTACGTTATTTTCAAGTCAGATTGTTGGCTGATCCGGTTTAAGTGCAACTTTTCAGCCATCTAGTACAATTTTGACCTGTATGCTATAGTCGTTTAATCCGCAAGTGGAGTCCTACCATCCTCTTCCCGTTGTCGTTAATGTGAAAAGACGCAGTCTTGCCTATCTGATTTAATTTCATCCAATTCCGATCTAGTTTTTATGAATTTCGACCAACAACGATGGGCTCGATGAGTGCTCTCATCGAAAGTATTCACAGTTTCAGCAAAAATTAAACTGGCAGCTATCTTGCTTAATGTAGAAGTGTCAACTTTAGTTTCAGATATAATACTTGGCAAACTCAAAATTAAGGCTTGGTGAAATTAGGTATAATTAATTACACATTTTCAAATGCTTATCATTCATGACAGGCAAAACTTAATCTTTCTCTCAAAGAAGTTAATTATAAACCATCGCGATTTCGTGGTTTAACAGACTGTTATGCATGGTGGCCTGTCTCCGTGTTTCAACAGTCGGTAAGATTGTTGAAGTTTATCTTGAGCTAAATGATACTTTGCACGAGAAGGCGATCAGTATACCACTGAGAATATTATTTCTAGTGAATGTGTTATATTTAAGCTTACTAAGTAAGCTAGCGGGTTAGTCAGATCACATTGTTACTGCGAAGAACGAACTACTGCACCTTTAGTTCATCAGCATTACCGAATAAAGGCTTTGCATTGTCCTCTGATCGTTTTGTAGCTGACTGCACTAGAACATAATAGAGAAACAACGGCTTTCAAGTTATTCTTTAGTTATTTCTAATATGAAAGAGTACGCATCGTGTACGAATCAATTTTGGTAATTCAGTCAAATAAGGTCTATTTTTTATTTTTCAGTCATCGCCATACAAAATTTCCCTTTTGTCGTTAAAGTTGGGCAATCGTTGTAGTTAAGATCACCACCCTCTGCTTCATGCGGCAAAAAAACAATTGCGATTCTTGCTATCTTTAATACTAATAAGCAAAAAATATGATTTTTGGAACAAATTTTTCTACTATGCAGGCCGCTACGATATAAAATAGTGGGCACTTCGCCTTGATGAACTCCGGTGGCAGAGTTGCTTGAACAAGCATGTCAACGGCTAGTCCCTCATTTCTGACGATGAATTCTGTTCCTCATACAGATTAGTTTTATTCAATGTGTTGAATACCAAGTCACGCTTCCTGCCAGTGAAATTAATTGAAGTCTTCCCAGAAGTCCAAATATCATTCCATTCTAGAGTAATTGGAATTTCGTGCATTGCTTGACTATCCGCTTAAAAATAATGGTGTTCTTGCATTTTGTTCTCATGTTTCATTTGTTCGTAGAGAAAAGTCGACGGCCTTCAGTCTTGCAGCGGTTTTGTTAGTAGAAAAAAGTTTTAAAAGCTCTAAGCTTATAATTTACAACCCCACCCAGAGGCTAACGCTTCTTCTCTTTCGGGCAGTATTAAAGAGTGGCCATACGACTTAAACCAGGACTAAACACCGTCTTCATAGCTGATGGTAAAAAAAGTTCCAACATATCACTTCAGTTATTCTGACGGTGCAATATACTCTATAATAAGCCTACTTGAGACATGAAAGTGCAACGAGGTGTTGTACTTTGTACTTGTACTTATAGTAGTAGGTATACACTACTTGTATTATTAAGTACAATGGCAGGTTAAACAAGAGTAGCATACGTATGTGTACATGTACAAATGAGTTCTCTTTTATTTGTTTGTTGACCTACTGAACTTTTAAGAATCTTTCCCGGGTATTATAACACGATCAGTCCCAACGACACAATTCAGACTGACCTTTTGTGAAACCAAACGTTTCTGAGAAATTTGTTCATTTGGTATGAAGAATATGTTGCTTTATATTAAATGAATATGAAAAGATACGAAGGCCTTGGGTGCAGTATAAGTAATTTTCTATTCAACTTTACCGCTGGCCGGCAAACTTATTAACTTATTATTCTCGAGTAAAGAATTTCTATGGCTCATATCGACACACTTTCGTAGATGATTTGAACGTGATAGGTGATTCCATGGTTGGCAGCACGAGGCGCGAGAAACTAGTTTTAATTGTAGGAATTCAAACGTTTCGACCAAATTGGCATCAGTCGTCATCAGAGAGTTATCATAAATAAAAGCTGTTTTCTTGTTTCTCTTGCTGTCAACTATGGAATCAGATGACCTATCACTACCATTATTCTGAAGTTTCTCAATGTTGTTATGATGGTCCGTGTTGCTGAAAATTGTGTGTTTGTTGAGATCTTCACGTTGAACCGTTCGCATAAACGAAACGTCTCTGCTTTGTGATGTGCGCAGCTTTTAAACGATTGTTATGAGGCATCGGTTACTGCATTGCAGAAGGAAATATTCATCCGAAAGCAAATTTACCTACGTTATTTTTCCATCTCGCATATTGTTGGCCTCATGATGGACTTTCGCCGTGTTTTATCATCCGCACGATGAGTTCATGGACTGGAATAAATCACATATGCTCAGTCATGACCAAACGCTTTTTAATCTTCACACATACTGAATTCATGCGGCCTAGAAGAGAATAGAGCGATTCCTTACATTGTCCTGCTATTTAACAACTAAATTTAATCACCGAATCAACCCTGCTAGATGCGTTTCAACTGTCGCCATTGATCCATGTCGTCAACGGTCTTCTTGTCAGACAACAGTAGTAACACTGACCTACGGCTGAGGCAACGGACAGTCGGATTTTCGTGGGAACAGTAACTCGCTTTTTAACCCAAATAATGGACATGTTTCCAAAAGCGTTCGGGGCTAGAGTGATCATCCCATGTAACTCTGGCTGGATAATGTCTGCTGGAGACGATGGTGCCGATATACTTATAAGTCAACCTTTTCAAGCATTTCAATACCCTGTTCCCATTGTAGGACGGTTGTGCCGGATGAGTCCTCATAAGTTCCGACTTCAGGGCGTTAAAGAAGATGCAGTTTTCGCTGCAGCGTTGCGTACAGAAGCCAGGACATGACCGACCCAACTTCCTGCATCGTTCACCAGCACAACGTCCTCTGCATCCTCTAGGTCAGCACAAATCTAGCCGATATTTTCAACTGTGTTTTACCTTAGAGTGAGACCTTCGAACTCCGCCGTTGCACGTCCCAATCCCAGACGAGAAAGGATCAGCATTGGAGACCGTGGCGAAGTCTACGTAAAATTTAGCTCCCTGCTCTTCATTATTTCCCTCCATAACGGTTCGGTCGATGCCCAGATTACCAATGACTGCCCAGGCTGTCCGACGACTGAGGCACGCTGCAAAACGTCGCCGATCAGAGCCTAGTAGTCGCCCCCCCCCT